ATGGTTGACTCAATAAAACTGTACAGGTGAAGATGAAAACACATAATTCACATACTACATAGCGCCTCGATCATTTGCGGCTTTCTATTAAAATAATAAGAAATTGCAGCACTAGCTGGTGCTAAATGCAACTGTCGATTGAACAGCAGCTTCTTTGCCCAAGTATTTCAATAACCCATTCTTCGGTAACAGTGCTCATAGAGGTGGAGTAAAAGCAAAGACCATTTGATAACACCAGAAGTTTCCCAGCGTACAAAAGAAAGTTTAGAGCACAAGTTTCTATCCCAGGGTAGAAAATGTTCTAGTGTGAAAGTAAATTATCATGCAAGTATCAGGTTCAGAAGGATTGCACAACTTGCAAAATTCAGAAGGAGAAAGGCATCATCAACACTTGAATAAATACTTGTAACTGAAGGAAGTCTCAGGCATCATCAACTAACAGAACCATCAGAATCATGTGTAGTATAGCAAATCCCCAACCACCATGCTTGGTCGATCTCCTGAAAGAAGAAGAAAGAACTATGCATCTATATCTAGTTTCATCACTTCTTCTCAAGAAAGTAAGAAAGCACCATCAATCTACAACACTCAGTAAATCAGTCAGTATGCTCTTTATTGCCCGGCCAATTCTTACTCAAGGAAACTACTTTTTTAAAAACAAATTACTCACCTGGCAAGTCACTTCATTCCTTAATAGACCCCTTCCCCTCGCCTTCATTGCATTAATATTATTTCTATAATTCCCACAGGCTAAACTAGGCACTAGAGAAGAGACACGCAACTGATCTTCATTTCAAATCAGAGCTCTGCGCCAATAATAGCATGTGCCCATCTCCTTTGTGTTACTGCAAGCACACAGCTGAGATCTCATTTATTCCAATTTCTACAGCCTAACATCAGGAATAAACATATGCTCACCATCCTCTCCTCACACATCTTGATTCTTAATTGGAGGTAGGCCAGCATGTCTACAGTTTCTGTGTTTGCAATTCTCCAAGATTCCATAACTACGCTCGCTATCTGACAGCTAGTACTTGCAAGCCTAGGCTGAGATTTAACTGAAAGGAGTGCACGAAGAGATGGCATTCAGTATAACTGAGAAAAAATACTGCATTCCCCTAAATATTAAGACCAGGCTTTGTTAAGATATCATCTGAAGGGGAGCCTTGGCGCAGTGGTAAAGCTGCTGCCTTGTGACCATGAGGTCACGGGTTCAAGTCCTGGAAACAGCCTCTTGCAGAAATGTAGGGAAAGGCTGCGTACAATAGACCCAAAGTGGTCGGACCCTTCCCCAGACCCTGCGCAAGCGGGAGCTACATGCACTGGGGCTGCCCTTTTTTTGTTAAGATATCATCTCTCGGACCATCTCTTGGCTAAGGTATCTTCATTCTGTTTTTTCCAATACCAGCATACATGTCCTCACAAAATATTGTAATCAACACAACTAAAGCAAATATAAAAGAGCATCTAAAAAAGCAAAATATCAAACATAAGACAGAGGGTGACTTGCTATCCCAATAAAGCACACCAATGATAAAAATGTCCTGAGTATCTATATAGATAGTGCTAATATAGATTAAAACTAGCTAAAAGGTAAGGCAGAGAGTAACATGGTAATGCCATAACCTTTTTAAGACCACCTTAACATATTCCTGTATTGTCTGAATTGCCCTCTGCTTTTCAGCACCACACCATACAAGCATCAATTTGCTTCTCCAGTACAAATACCTGGGCCTTCGACATATCCATTACATAGTGCTATATGGGTAGGCCATCGACAAAAATGCTACTGGCCAACTACTTTACTATTCAGTTTTGACATCAGATGCTCCCAGAAAAAGTATCATCAGCCAGTATGCCATCCAAGAATATAAGAGAAAAATAAAGGAAAAAACTGATACAAAGTACTAGAAAACGATGAGCTGCTTTCACAACAGTTAATATTTTATAAACAAAGCTACTGCTTGAAAAATGAAGGCATTCAGCTAAGCAAGAAGAACTAGAGGAACCAACAGACTATATCAAAACTGCACCCTCAACAGTGATCAACACGTTGTGACCATCAACAACTCCAGAATTGTTCCCGAAAAAAAGTTCAACAAATTTCGGGACTTCTTGTCATCTTTATGGCCATATTGAGAACCCTTTTTCATGGAAAGATAGATTAACTCAGGATCGCATTGAAAGCTGCAATTGCCACTCAGAACATAAAGATATAGAGCGTGCAGATATACTTTTCATTAATACTTGAAAGCATTTGCAGAATGCCCTGATGTCACTTTCTTAGTTCAGAATGCGTATCAATATGAGATCAGGATGGAAAAGTTCATCGCAATGTGATTCTTTCTTCTCTCTAAATGATATAGTGGACGTACAAGTACTCTAAAATCAAATTATTAGTTTCAACCAGGACTGGCGACACTGAATTAACATGTACAGTACCAGATATGCTATAGCAGATAACCAACATCTAGTTAGGCAAAGAACACTGAGACAAAAATTACCAGCTCACTACACGTAGACATACGCAGTTACCAATTCTCATAGCCCGTTATTGGTGATGTAAGTCTGAAATTAGAAGGCACTTCCCCTACAAGTGGCAGCAGTCTTTGGGAAGGTGGGGGCAGCTTCCTTGTATGGACATACGAACTTTTCCATGAAAATCTTCCCAGTAACTAAGGCTGCTGAATAGTAGTTCCCCTCGCGCTCTAGCAATCCATTTTCCTGCTTCTTGGTTCATGCAAATATGAATCTCGCAGGCACTTCCCCTCTGCAAGCGGTTGCATAGTCTTCAGCAAGGTATGGTGCAGCGTCCTTGTGAGGGCATATGAACTTCTCCAAGAACTCTTTCTCAGTCAATTTAACAATTGTACAGTCGCTTGGGTCACGCTTGAGCAATCCATTTTCCTTAAGAAACCTCATAACATGGTACCGGGGCCTGAGCCGGCCCTCCAGGTTAAGACCGAGGATAACCGGCCAGTGAGCAATGCGCGCCGGTTCCAAGCCCACCTTAGAGATGAGGAACTCGGACTTGCGCTGCAGCGTGTCCTTTGAGCACCTTAGCACAACCGGCCACTTGGACACAGCAGTGCGGACCTCCGTATCTGACCACCTAAATGTCTTCTTCAAGTAGTCCACTTTGGCAGCGAGCTTGTCCTCGCTCAAGTATGAGACGGCCTGCAGCGCTTGCCTGAACATTCCAGAGCCACAGGGCACACCTATACCTTCAGCACACGCAACCATCTCCAGGACACGCCCTGGTTTGGCACACAGTATCCACGGCGAACATACGAAGAGCTTGGCAATATCACAAGCACCTATTCCGCACTCTGCTAGGAGACTGACATTGGGCTTGACCACCCTCTCGAGGTCAGAGTCGAGGATGGAGGAGCCATGTTTGAGCGGCCGGATCATGTTTTCGAAGGAGCCGAAGAGTGGCAGGTAGTACTCTAGCTTGGAGACGACGCATCTCTGGCGGAAGTTGTCGGGGACGAGCAAGACGAGGCGCGCGATATCACAAGGGGATAGACCGAGGCCGGTGAGCCCGACGACGACGGGGGACAGAGTTCTCTCCACTTTGGCGCAGAGGAACCGCGGGTCCTTGGCGACGACGGCCGCGACGTCGGCGCCGGAGAGGCCGAGGCCGGCGAGGAAGGCGAGGACGGCGTCGGGGTTGGCGGGGGACTTGAGGTGGGAGAGCTTGGCGGAGGCCTTGAGTGCCTGGGCACGGGTGAGGCCGCAGGCGCCGACGAGGTACTCCTCGACGGCGAAGCTAGGGTTGGGGGAAACGGCGGGCGCGGCCGCGGAGAGGAGGCGGTGGAGAGAGAGGAGTCGGGATGTGGAAGGCGCTGGCGCGGCGGAGAGGAGATGGGAGAGGACGCGCTTCCGAAGGTGGAGCATGGCGCCGCGACGGCGACGGCGGCGGCGGGCGGTGGGGAATTCGAGTGGCGTCGGATGTCTCCGGTGGTGTGGTGTGCTGGACAGGGATCGACTCTGAAATGAACATCCAGCGGCTGGGCCAAGTTACCATCCAAATGACATCCAACGGCCCATTTCCATCCACACGTTGCCCAGAGCAAAACTGCGTCCATCGTTACCTTAAAAAAAACTGCGCCCATCGGAATACACTGTTGAATGTTTGGTGTGTTTGCAATGTTTCACGGTGGGATGACATTCGTGGAAGTTGTAGCATAGAAACAAAACAGGTCCTCCAAAAAATGCTATTTTTGAAAGCATTTTAGAGCGTTGATTTTATTTATTTATTTTCGCCATGACTCCGTGAATGTCATTACATGATGAAACTTTACAAACACTCCTTTTTCCAGGGGAATTTGCAAGCACTGAAACATTCAACAATGTTTGGCATAAATAAACAACTTTCTTTTAATGAATTTTCTCACTATTTCTTCAAATTGACAGTTCACGGAGTAGAATAGTACTTTCACTTTAGAATAAATCATAATGAAAGTAACATAGGTAGTAATATGCATGTATCATAGTGAAAAAAAATATGATGTGAAAAATAATCTGGGGTTCATTTACAAAACACGACGCGCACGCGTGGCGTGAGGCGGGCAACGGGAACCACTTCTTCTTTTGTCAAGCTCCAATAGCATCTGAAAGAGGAACCCTTATAAAAAGGTCCAACTCTTTTTCCAAATCTGTGGGAAACCACAAGTGTGGGACGAGAGATCTGTTGGTTTCTCTATGTGTGACTGGTTACTGTACAAACATCACCTGAGTCACCACAGGCACAATGAGGTGCAACTTGAGCTGAGCACAAACTCGACTATTCATAAACAGACATATGACCACCACTCTACTGATGAAAATCATCAATTGGAAACCAATGATAATGTTGAGAAAAATACAACCAAAGCAGAAAAAATGAATCCTAGCCAATCACAAAACTCCAATCCTGGCCAATCACAGCAACCTAGCTCAATTTCAGAAAATGGCCCCAGTTCAATAGACCAGCAGCAACGGGAGCTCTCTGTGTCCTACTCCTCTGCAACCTCGTCTGCGGGCGCGATGGCCTCGGTCTGCCCCGGGCTAAAGAAGTTGGCGGGCAGCACCAGCATCGGGTCATCGCTGCCGTCGTGTATGCGCAGGTACGCCAGGCCCAGAGAGTATCCCAAGGCCCGGGCCACAGGGACCGCCACCGCGTTGCCGACTTGCATGTACCTGCCAGCCAGCACCAGAATTCATTTCATGACCAACAGATGTTCAGTTTCAGTCTTGATTTATTTATGGAAATCACGACTAGCAGAGCAGTTCGTAAACTTGCCGCTCCTTGATGGGACCATCCAGGCGATAATAATCCGGGAACCCCTGCAGCCTTGCATTCTCACGGACGGTCAGAACTCGGGCCTGGCCCGGGTGTAGTATTCTCTGCAGGGAGCAACACGGAACACATTTAGAGATTCTAAACCTGACACTGTCGAAACTGAACAAAAGGTCATGTGCTTCCTAAATGGTCAGATCAGAAAATTGAGGTAGCTTGTGACAAAGCTGACCTGGCTGTGTGGGTTTGCACTGGTTACCACTGTAGGAACCGTCTCATCCCACCACAATCGTCCAAACGGCCTGTAAATGCATCGCAGCGTGTATCTTGAGAACAGCATCAACAACCTAGTATAGTTTCAGAAAAGAAAATAAGTAAGGCACTAACCTGAGAGATTTGCCACTCCTGAACTTGATTGCATATTCAGGGACCTGGCCATACAGACATGCAATCTTCAGCAATTGTGACTAGAAAAGTCCTGACGATATTGGGCGGTGCAACACGTACCAATGGATTGCCAGACTCAAGGTAAACTCGTGGAATCTCAGGGTCAAACTCAGCGACGTTGTTTGGCCCTACTCTTACACCTTCCAGGTCACGGAAGTTGGCTCCCTAAGTGAGAATTCAAAATTTTCACAAAGGGAAGAGGAGTAATCACACAAGAAACATTTCGAAAAAATTCAGCCACCTACCTTCTCAAATGGTATTCGCTTAACGCGCTCGTAATCATCTTTATTCAACTTCAGAGGACAGTGATCCATTAGCTTGCCTTCTCCAGGACCGGTTTTATCACCGAATGAGTAGTCCAACATTTCTAGAACATTGGAACAACACTAATAAAAAATAGTAATTTAAATGCATAAACTGAACTGAAATGTGAAATGCAAAAGGAAAGGACTTTTCACAAACAAAAAAGATGAGCATATATTCGTCTTATCAAAAGAGCTATATAGTTACCTTTACGGCTAAGACGAATGTAGCGCTGAAATTCTGTCTTTGGTTTCACAAGGTATTCAAGTACGTCATCAGCTTGATCGTTACCAACCTGCATAACAGATGTAAGACGATATGTGGAAAATATGACAAATAGAAGTCAAGTAAATACATGCCTTCGGTAAATCTGAGATCGCATCTTCAAGGACCAAGGCATTCTTCAAGGTTGGATTTTGAATTTCGTCATATGCCACAACGCTTTGCTGCAACGAAAAATAAGCTCGTCAGCATATTTTCACTCCTCATAGGATTTCATTACGATCTTAATTTTATTATGGTTTTGCTTACCGTGAATGCATTCGGCGCCCCGCCTCGTATAACAACATTATGCGTGGGGAGAGGATGTTTTGGGAGCACCTGCATATCCAAATACAACTGATCAATCATCTCAGAAATAAATTTGTAAAAAAAACTGAAAGTGACAAAGAATATTAAAACAAACCATTGTAGTGAGGGCACCCCATAGGAAGGTGCGCATGCGGAACTGTGGAAGCCCGTAACAACCTGCTAACATAATACCCAGCCGAGACTGGTAGTTCATAGCCACCAACCGGCTCAACGCATACCTACCTAGATATCCTTCGGCAAATTGCAGTATATCCACCACATTTTCCATCAAAACGAACTTCGGCCGCAAATAGGAAACGATGTTCATAAAAGTGACCAGCTGCCTATTCTTATCATCATTTAGTGGGTCGTCACGGTTTCTGAACCGATTTAACCCGCTTATCCCTTGACAAGGTGGCCCCCCACACAAGACATCTACATCACCCTTTAAAAGTATAACAGAACAAATAAACAACATCAGGAATCTGATATTCAGGTACAAAATTACGGAGAAAGAATAGCAAGTACTCACAGGCAGTGGTAATACTTTTCGCATGTGGCCTTCTTGAACAAACTCCTTTATTTTTAAAGGGCAGTCACTGAACATTAAAAAAGAATCAGTGAACTGTGCATAGATCTTTCTGGATAACTGCAACGGAAATAGACATTATTATGTAATAGGAATATGTCAAATTAGATACAAACCTAAGGTTTTTAATGGGCTCCCAGGTATCCTCTTCGGGACCATATCCCTTCCATTGCACCTGTTCAAGAAAATATCACACCAACCTAAGTAACAGAAGTATGAGCACTAGAAATGAGCTAGATGGACAGTGTAGCACTTTGAAATAAATGCAACTTTTCCTATCAATGCCACCATAGCAGATATCAGTGAGTTTTTGCACGACATATTCGTCCTTTTCGAGTTCACCCTCTTCCTCCTCATCGTCCATCGGAGGAGGTGCCTCAGCATTATTACCATGGACATATTGGTCACATAGAACTGCCCATTCTTTTAAAAGAGATAGAAAATCATCCGCCTTCTCGTTCCGCACCTATATTCAGAAATCACATCTAGTCAAGATAGAACAAGAGGATTTGTACCAGCCAAAAAGAATTAAAGATTCATGAGCCAACCTCGGTCTTGGGATGGTTGGACTTCAAGCTATTGCACGCGTAGCTGTTAAAATCAACAGCCCACCTCTACAAATATAAAAAAGAAAGAAATTATAGACATAATGAAGGGTGGTCGACAAATTATTCTCCAAATAAATATAAGCCTAAGTAATACCGTCTCAAGTTTCAATCCAGCTAGTGCAGCGCCCAAGCACAATCCAGTGGACATGCCACCGCAACCAGAATAAAGGTCAAGTAGCGTTGCAGTTGCCACAGAGGTGTCAACCTCCGAATCAGCATCCGAAGAAATCCCTGAAATTTCATTTATATCTACACGCAAAACACACCTTCAGTTATAATACTGAACTGGCAAGATTATTCAACAGATCATTAAAATTACTGAACATGCTGATCTCATGTCCTAATTGCCCAAGATTATAGGTGATATCTACCAAAGATAAGTTAACTAATAGATGAAAATTCCTAGGCCCATGATGCCCCTTAGTTAATTCTATCTTTTTCTACCAAAAATATTCTTGCATGTTTGAACACAGCTTATATGCACAGAAAAAATATGTCATCCTAATGTCTACCAAACCTATCCGCAGAATTAACATTCCAAACGCAGAAAGCATGGACAATGAGATTGGATTAAACTTAACCTAGAATCCTAGATTATGATCGACATGGACAGATGGGATTTGTTTTTACATATTCTCTAAAATGTTTATCTCCCAGGAGTTAATTTACATGACTAAACAGGTTAAACTTAGCAACAATATTGGAAATATTTAAACATTAAGGAGGCACTGATCTCACATGTACGGGGCGTGAGTGGGTCCTTCTAACTCTTGATAAGGCGAATGAGGAGCGTACACACCTCCTTTTCATCTGGTGGCGAGCATGGCACCTTAGAAACAACATTATATTTGGTGACGGGAAAGATACAATAAAGGCATCAGCAGAATTCCTAGAAAGTTATGCTAGCTCCTATGCGGCGATCAGAGCGGGACAGTCGCTACCTGACTTTAAAGGAAAAGAAAAAGTGATGCCAGACATTTCATTCCGTGAGACTAAACAGAGAGTTGCAGATTATCAATGGGCCAGACCTAACTCAGGTTGGCTCAAACTAAATGTTGATGCAAGCTTTATTCAGGAGACAAACCATGGAGCTTGGGGGGCTGTTCTACGAGATACAAATGGGGCGGTGATTGGATCTGCTTGGAACACAATCAGTAACTGCGCTAGTGCTGAGGCGGCCGAAGCTGAAGCCTGTCTTGAAGGAATCCGAGATACCATGCAGTTCATAGACCGGCCAGTAGTTATTGAGAGCGACTGTGTGAATGTCATCCAACAAATTTCTTCAAAGGACTTTAATAGATCTCCCATTGGTAGCTTGTGTAGGGAAATTCAGAGTTTGCTGGGCCAACTCCCTGATTTTACTATTGCTAAGATCTCTAGAAATGGCAATAGGGTTGCCCACGCTCTCGCTAGTTTTGGTAGGAGTGGTGTGAGTAAGGGTGTGTTGATCGGTTCAGTTCCAGCCTGCGTGTTGCGACTGGTCGATGATGATTGTAATGAACCTATGTTGATTATTTAATATAATACACACCTTTTTCAAAAAAAAAAACTTAGCAACAATATTGGAAATATTTAAACATTAAGGAGGCCAATAATTAGCTTGCATAATTGAACAGAGTTATAGGTTAGCAGCAATAATTGCCATTTATGATATTTACTGACTGTTTTAACAAACGAGTTACATCCTAATTTCTATTGAACGTATCAGGTTGAAATAACATTTTGAAGGAAGAAAGCATGGGCATAAGACAATGAGTTTAGATTTTAACTTAAACCAGATTATGATCAACATGGTCTGATGGGAAAAAAATTCACATGTTGGTTAAAATGCTCAACTCTTAGGAGTTAATTTACAAAACTAAACAGAGTTACAGCAAATTATAGCAACAGTATTGAACATGTTTAAAGCATTAGATAGGTCAATAAAAAGCTTGCATAACTGAAATGAGTACAAAGGTCACAGCAGCAATTACCATTTGTGATATTTTCAAAGGTAGAGTAGGGCACAGTGTACGACATGTCGTAGTACAGATCGCTGTCAGCCGCTAGTTGGGCTTTTGCTTCCAGATCAAGCTAAAACGTGGAGTTAAAAAAAATGAGAAGCATTTCATCAAGGAGGGGAGACACAGTTGTGAACAAGAGCAGTAACCTTGGGATCGACTTGCAGTATTTTAACCTTGGACACAATACAGTCAAGCGGGTTGTCGTTCCTCTCGTCAGAGAGGAAGACCCGCTTGGGATCATGACTATGATCATCAACCAATTTCGCGGTCGAGATCACCGTGTCCTCCGATCGGAAGAACCAACGGCAGTTGAAGTACTTGACGTGGTCTGTTCCCTCAAAAAGTTCGGTGATTCTACCAATGAAATGGGGCTTTCCTTCCTCTGCCTAAACAGGAGTGATGATAAAGGAATCAGGAATGAATAAACCTATGCAAACATCTAACAGATAGCAAGGATATTTTTTTACATCAGCAGAAACCATATTCACGGAGAAAGGTGTCGTATGGATGCAGTTTGGTACTCCCTCCGATCCGTCTTATCTGTCACTAGAAAAGGACTGAGATAATACAGCTCGGTAGTATAACTAGCGACAATTTTTTCGGGCCAGAGGAGTACCCAAAATGGCATTAAGCAATGCAAGCTGAGGTGTAAATTCATTTTGTACAAACCGTGGCATTAAGGTGAGCGAGTATTACAACTCTGTTTGTAAAGCGTCCCTAAAGCGTCGCTTAAGCGTTAGAGCGCCCTCCAGGCTCAAAGCGTCCAACTCGCTTTAGACATGTGTCTAAGGCGTCCGCCTTAGACACTAAAGCGTCTGAAGCGCCTGCTTAGGCGTCCTGATTGGCGCTTTAAGGCAGAGAGGACGCCTTAGACTTGCCAGGCAGGGTACAGAGATTCCTGGCAGGGAAACAGGGCTGGGCTCACATTTGAAACAGTTACAGGAGGGGAAAGAAAGAGAGAGAACCAAAACCAGAGCGTGCAAATATCCAGGCTTTCAGCTCTTTCCTCTCTCCTCTGGCAGCAGCTTCCTCAGATCTGCACCAGCCTTTTCTGCTCTGTTGTGTGTTATGCTATGCACAACTCCTCTGCTGTTAGGTGCTACTGCCTCTCTTATAGCAATTGGCTAGTTGCTTACTGCTTAGTGGATGGATCAGAATATATGGGCTCACTGGTGGATTAGAATCAACATATATATGTCTCACTAAATGGTGCTCTATTATACTGCCCATCAGGTTCAGAGTCTGTCTAAAGCGTCGCCTCGCTTTACGCTTTATCGCTTAAGCAGTGAGGCGCCCCCCTAGCGCCTCGCTTCGCTTTACCGCTTTATAAACATAGATTACAAAGCAGGAAACATGGAGGCAACCACATTAGGCGCATGAACAGAGCATTACGATGACGGTCAGCCATCGAGTACTTGACAGCAGCATGCATAACCGCAATGGCATGAGCTGTTGAAAAGAAGCATTATGATGGCACCCTGATAATTAATAACAACAAAAGAAAGAAAGAAAAACAGAAGCAATGATAGCAGCAAGCATAACAGCGGTCACATGAGTTGTGGAGGCAGAACAGTAGCATGAAAAAGTGTAAAAGATAGCGAGTATTCTTTTACTGCAGCAGCCATATGCAGAGCCACATGGGCCCAATTGGGTACCAGAGGAAATGCATCTACGCAGCAAATTTTCTACAGAGAAGTAGAGTAGTCATGCTGATTAACAATGATGATAGGACCGTCGATCTCACAGCAGAAGCATATGACGGAGTGATACTAACCATAACAGCCTACCTAAATAACAATGATGATGAATGGAGCAACCATTCATTAGCAGCAAGCATAACCGGAAACATGTAGTAAAAGATACTCCATTGAGGAGCAACATGTTGATAAGCAGAGGAAGACGATTACCACTACATACACATCGTCACGGAGGTTATAGACGATTCCTTCCACCTTGGCTGCCCAGTAATGGCAGCGCGCCTTCACCTCCTCCTCCTCCTCCCCATTTCTGCCCAGACGAACGCGGATGCAGAAATCCCTAAGCATTCAGCACAGTATCCACACACCACACACACGCTCAGAGAACAGACACAAGGGGAGGGGGCGTGAGCTACCTGCGCTGGCGGTGGTAGCGGTGGGGAAACTTGGCCCGAGCTTCGTCGGCGGGGATGGGGTCCCCGACGAACTCGGGGTCGCCATCCTCCCTGGGCGGACGCCCCCTTGTCGCGCGCTCGGTCACGACGAGCGGCGGCTCGTCGGCGGACCTCCGCTTGCGGGCCGGCGCCATTGCGGGTTGTGGAGAGTGGGGGGAAGAGGAGAGCGGCCGGATGGTGGGGGTCGCTGGTGCCAGTGCCGGCGTCTCCGCCTCCGGGGCACCAATGTCGGGGATGGATTTTTATTTTATTTTTTTGAGCAGTATGTCGGGGATGGATTGGAGCCCGCTCCGCTCAGTGCGAGCCCGTTCGGGTGGAAGCAAGCAAATCCACTCGAGCTGGGCCGGCCCACTACTGCGGGAGGCCATAAGCTCTTTTTCCTGTATATTTTTTGCGTTTTCTGTTTTCTTTTTCGCTTTTTTACTTTTGTTTATACTTTAAAATATCATATTATACCATTCTTCAAGAATTTGAAAATGTTGAAAAAGTATTTTTATTTTTCTGTATACTTTTGTTTACAAAAGCACTCTTCAAGAAACATTTGAAAATGTTGATCAAGTATTTGTAAAATGTTGTACGACTACTTGAAATATGTTGAACAAGTATTTGAAAAAATGTTGATCATGTATGTAAAATTTTTGAACAAGTACTTTTAAAATGTAGAACATGTATTTGAAAACTGTTGAACAAGTATTTAAAAAAATTTGAACAAGTATTTGAAAAAATGTTGATCATGTATATAAAAATGTTGAACAAGTATTTTTTAAATGTAGAATACGCATTTTAAAAATGCTGAAAAAGTGTTTTAAAATTAATTAACAAGTATTTGAAAAAAATGTTGATCATTAATATAAAAATGCTGAACACGTATTTCTAAATGTACAATATGTATTTTAAAAATGCTGAACAAGTATTTAAAAAATATTGAACAAGTATTTGAAAATAATGTTGATCATGTATATAAAAATGTTGAACAAGTATTTTTTGAATGTAGAATACGCATTTTAAAAATGCTGAAAAAGTGTTTTAAAATTAATTGACAAGTATTTGAAAAAAATGTTGATCATTAATATAAAAACGTTGAACACGTATTTTTAAATGTAGAATATGTATTTTAAAAATGCTGAACAAGTATTTAAAAAATATTGAACAAGTATTTGGAAATAATATTGATCATGTATATAAAAATGTTGAACAAGTATTTGAAAAAAGGTTGAACAAGTATTTGAAATTTTTTATCATACATATATAAATGTTGAGCAGGTATTTTAGAAATGTTGAACAAGTATTTGAAAAATATTGAACAAGTATTTGAAAAATGTTGAACAAGTATTTGAAAAAAATTGATCATGTATATAAGAATGTAGAATGAAAAACAAAAAGAAACAAAAAAACCCAAAAAAATGAAAACCAAATAAGAAACAAAATAAATCAAAGGAAAAAGAAAATGAAAAAACTGAAGAAACAAATGAAAAAAGGCAGAGAAAAATAAAATAAAACAAGAAACAGAAAAAGGAGTAAACCCGACACTTTTAATCTATAAGTAGGGCGCGCCCTAGCATTTATCACGAACACTGTGCTAACCTAGTGGTTAGCTTCACTACTTCTCATGGAGGAGACCCAGGCTTGAATCCATGGGAGCTCTTATTGGAACCTTACTGTGTCAAGCTGCGCGCCGACGCACAGGCTGGCCGAACTAGTGATGCACAGATCGTTGACGAGTGACGCTAGCCACTAGGGCGAATGACTACTAGTGAAAGACTTTAGCGCAATGGTTTTAAGAATTCACTAGAGCGGGATATTTAGTGCGGCCTAATCATTTACTGAACTGTATAGTTTTTTGAATTATTTGAACAAATTTTTGAAAACATGGAGAATTTTTTGAAACAATGTGAACGATATTTGAAATTTCTATACAATTGTTTTTTGAAAAGGGTGAAAAACAAAACACAAATGTTGAAACTATTTGTTTTTTTTTTCAAAAAACGCCAACATTTTAGTGCAGCCTAATCATTTACTGAACTATATAGTTTTTTGAATTATTTGAACAAATTTTTGAAAACATGGAGAATTTTTTGAAACAATGTGAACGAAATTTGAAATTTCTATACAATTGATTTTTGAAAAGGGTGAAAATAAAAACACAAATGTTGAAACTATTTGTTTTTTTTTAAAACGCCAATATTTTATTTGAAAGCGGACATTTTTTGAAATTCCTCAAAGATTTTTTGAATTACCGAACAAAATTTGAGAACTTTGTTTAATTTGTGAAATTATTAAGTTTCCGATCAATACAATTTTAGCATCAATGATAAACCTTTATCATGAATAAGGAAATATAAAATAACAACTTTATTATTGCCTCTAGGGCATATTTCCTTCAGTATGTTCATGCCTAGTAGTAGCTTCACATTGGGTCTAGAAAGTGATTTTTTTGAAGCTTGACAATCACAATATTGGTCATACAAGCAATTCATGAATGATTAGTATAAGGAAGAGAACTTTCACATACAAATATATTATCTTGGACATCTTTTATGATTGCTAATACCCATTAATTATTTTCAAACTTGAGCAAATTAGTTGAAGATGGGCAAGGAATACAACGTAATGAGTTATGGTTGTGTATATTTGTATAGAAGTTATATTCTTATGGATCCTCCAACATGTGGTGTGATAACCCACAAGTATAGGGGATCGCAACAGTTTTCGAGGATAGAGTATTCAACCCAAATTTATTGATTCGACACAAGGGGACTCAAAGAATATTCTCAAGTATTAGCAGTTGAGTTGTCAATTCAATCACACCTGAAAGACTTAATATCTACAGCAAAGTATTTACTAGCAAAGTAGTATGGAAGTAACGGTAATGGTGGCAAAAGTAACAATAGCAGTTTTTGTAGAAATCTAACAGTGGCAACAGAAAAGTAACTAAGCAAAGATCAATATGTGTAAAGCTCGTAGGCAATGGATCAATGATGGATAATTATGTCAGATGCGATTCCTCATGCAATAGTTATAACATGGGGTTATACAGAACTAGCTCTAGTTCATCAATGTAATGTAGGCATGTATTCTGAATATAGTCATACATGCTTATGGAAAAGAACTTGCATGACATCTTTTATCCTACGCTCCCGTGGCAGCGGTGTCCTATTGAAAACTAAGGGATATTAAGGCCTCCTTTTAATAGAGTACCGGACCAAAGCATTAACACTTAGTGAATACATGAAC